ACCAAGGTAAGAAGAAGAACTACATCTCTGGTCTCCCACAACAACAAACGTCACCAAGATGGCCGTCACTACTGTCTTTTCAACAAAACGATTGACTACCCTCACTATCACCACAATGAAACACGTCCAGAAGAATGTCATGCAAAGCTGCCTACCTTCCTTTGATTCTCTCTGAACTGCCTGGTCTTTTTAATGTTTAATGTCAACCATTTGTGCAGATAGCATGAAGTAGAAAAGATCGGCGATCGCCGATGCTAGCGTTAGCGTTAGCATTTCTCCCCCGGGCTTAAATTGTGTATTATAGAATGATCACACCGGTGACAGTACTCTTCAAAGGGTTCACGAAATATGACTACTACTCTTACTGTTTAACATTTTGGGTTACTTAATGTTACTTCATATTAAGGCTAATAAAAATGACAAGGCTGTAATGCTAACTAACGTGCTAGCTACTAGCTAGGTAGCTAACTTGATCCAGCCACTCTTGGTCCTTTCATCAGACGGGAAGCGGAAGAACGAGCAAGACCCAGCCATTGCTGGTATGATAACAACCTGGTACTAAGCACACAGGCATCTGTTCAAGTTATCTTATCTTAGCCAGCGCCATATAGATAGATTATATCTATATGGCGCTGATCTTAGCTATCTCTTAGTGGAGGAAAACAATTGTGACATCACTTACGCGACTCTGGGATTTGTAGTCTTTCTAATTGCGTATTTTTCATAGTCTTATATTTCAACAGTTTTACGACAAACTGTGACTTTTTTTACATGGAAATTATTTTTTAAGATTGACAAACATCATATGTGTAATTCATGGCACAATTCAAACGGGATCGAAAGATATGTTTTCTCTCTCCATTGACTTCAATACATTATTTTTCTGAAATAAGGTCCCATTGACCGGAATTAGATGGGCCTGACTTCGCCACTCTATAGAGTGTAGAAATACAACAACATTTCTATGAAAAGAACAATTATAATGAAACTTAATTTTGATATAATAATACAAGAAGTTCAGTGCTTTACAGTAAGCAAAAAATAAATATAGATTAAACTAAAAGAAGGGGTTACAATGCCATTATTAATGTAAGATGAAATTATAAAATCCACTTAATAATGGCAATACAAATTAAGTAATTAAATATATAATACATTCCTATGTTTGTATTATTCATATGTACATGCAGCAGCATCAAAAGGCCTCGGTTTTCTTATTCTTTGATATTAATTTTGTCTAAATGACTGTTTTGAAGTATTATAATATTAACTTGTCCTTAAGGTGAAAGATGAGCTCTGTGCAGACAGACCGTCAGGAAGTTTAAAATACTCCCTCTAAACTGTCTTTGTTTCACTATAGCAGGGTGGAAGTTGAGTCCTATGGTTGGAGCCATGTACAGCCCTGAACTCTATACAGGTAAGACAAAAAGGGTAATTAAACGAGTCTGATGGAGAAAAAGATGCACACTTTAAATTAAATTAAAATCTTAAAGGGATCTAAGACGCTTTTCTTTCACCCTCTCTCCATCTCAGTACCAGGGTTCCCATACCCAGCAGCAGCAGCCGCAGCAGCTGCCTCCACCGCAGCGACCTTCCGAGGCGCTCACCTGCGCGGCCGCGCCCGGCCCGTCTACAGTGCGGTCCGGGCGGCTGTGCCTCAGCCCGCCATCCCCACCTACCCTGGGTAAACACACACACACACACAAACAAATAACATTGATAACTAAACCAGCAAACTATTATTGATAATAAAAGCTAGACATGTTGTTATGCATATCACCCTCTTCTTAAATGCATGTCTTTAATTGGTAGAAAATAATACGTCATCATTGTGCATGCTGTGTGATTGAATACATTTTTAATGGAATATTGACATTGTAATTTGCTGAGCTGAAATACCATTTCCTTGTACCGCAGAGGTGATAATGATATGATACTTTAGTGATTGAATAGAGCAGTATTTATCTTTTAATAGACATTTGTCTCACAGTAGTATCACTCTAATGTTTGTGCATATGTATACAAAGAGGTGGTATTTTGTCTTGCATGTTGCACGGTGTGTAATAATATCACCCTTCTTTCTTTTCTCTCTCTCACAATCTGTTGTGCCCCGCTTTCTCACCTTTCTCTCCTAAATCGTCACTCTGTCATTTTCTACAATGCCCACATGGTGGCGCATCGCACCATCTTTTTGTTTGGACTTTCCACCACCGCTCCTCTCTTCCTTCCCTCCTTCCTATGTCGTCTCTCTCTCAGTGTGATGGCCTATCAGGATGGCTTTTACGGTGCAGCTGATCTCTATGTAAGTATGCCTCTCTCCTCTACTGCTCACTCCTCATCTACAATTTCCCCCTCTTGCCTGTGGGTTTTCAAGTGTGAAACGACACGGACCAAACCCATAGAGATGTGTACTTCTGGGTGTTTTTTGTTTCATCACAGCTAAAGACATTTTTTTTCCCCTGATTTAATCTTAGATAACAAATAAATTACACTCATCACTTTAGTTTCCATGAGCCATCTCATATATCTTAAACAATGCATACATATATATTAGTCGCAGTACATTCAGGAGTAGACGCTTCTAGGGTTTGTTTCTGTGCATTTGTGAGTTTAGTTTGTACCAATGTGATTATGAGTGTGTGTGTGCGTGTGTGACCAGGTTGACAATAGCTGTTTCTGTTCTCTCTGTAGACTAGTGTTTCAGGACATTAGTGGCAGATTGCCCCAGGTAGGGTTGACACACTCTGTGTGAGAGCCAGTGTGCATCCTCCTCGTCTCCAATGACTGCGTGCTGCTAGACATAATTGACCATCTGAGATTGAAATGCCTTCTCTGTCTTCTTCTACTAACTCACTGGATTCTGACATGGGTGGAGTTGCGGAAGGGGGAGAAAATAATTATTTTGAAATCTGAATTACGGAATAATTATACCACATAAAACCTCCATTCACAAATAATCTACAGGAGAGAGGTACATTATGGGTAATTTAGGTGCAGTATGTATGGTTGATACTTTTACCTATTACTAAGGGAATAAATCCAGCTAACAATGTACATATTGTTCCCGAACTTAACATTTAGCTCAGTTTGAAAACAAATGCATTTTGTCTTGTTTTGGTGACTTCACACCAAAATTCATCTTTAAATTTATACTTTTGATAATGTTCTTATGGCAATACATATTTAAACTGATTTTATGAAATTATTTGACATTTTCATCACACACTTGTATTCCAAAATGTGAAAATAATTGAGGGTTAAAAAATACTGACAACACATTTTCAAGGCAGGACGTTTTGGTGTTTTAAATTAAATGTAATTTAGAAATATATATTGTACACAAACCTCAGTTAGTAATCTGCATTTCCGTGCATTAATACAAACAGGACTTGTACTAAACAATACATGAATAATAAAATGAAACGGGAGGACAGTTTCTATCAGCAGATAATTCAGACCCCTTCCAGGAATCTCCCTATCTGTTTCACCTGTGGCATGCTAACTGAATCAATGTCGGCATGCAGACATATTTAAAAGGCTGACCCCTCCCCCTGCCAACCCGCCCCCAATTTTTCTTCCCGCTTTCTCTTCTCCATCTTTAAAGTATCTCTATCTGTTATGCTTTATTTCACTTCTCTTCACTTTCTTCATTCTCTCAGATAATCATTTAAACCTTTTCTGTTATTATTCTCTTTTCTTGACTCCTCTTCCTCACCCCCCTCTCTCTTTTCATCCCTCTATACTATTCATGTCAATTCCTTCTCCCCTTCCCCTCCCCCCCAGTCCAGCCTCCCTCCCATAGCAGCAGCTGTGTGGTCCTGAATGCGGGGACTTGGTCTTGACTGATCCTCTAGGGTAGAATGCAGCGGTGTTTGTTTGTTTTTTAGGGATGTTTGGCCTAATACGTTCTGAGTTTGGGAAAGCATGCTGTGTCTGTCAGTGATTGGTCGCTGGCCCTGTGAGCGTGAGCGTATGTGTGTGTGTTTTTAATCTGATTGGCTGACTGTCTTCTTACACCTGTAGTTTATTTTGTGTCTGTTCATCAGCTGTTCATCCTCAACATAAATAATGACACAATCATCTTGCCACCCCTTCCCCTTTCTTTAACTGTGTGTTTTTGGTAGGGGAACCGGGGTGGGGCACAGTAATGGGTATGTTCTCTCTCCCTCCATGTCCAACGCATAGAGGGAAAGATAAAAGCACTTTAATAATACACTGGGGAACGCTACAAACAGTAAGGCACATAATGTACAATTACAGATTGTTTTTGAGTTAGTCATGGAGGGAGAGACCGACACAGAGCCTGAGCTATATCCTTGTGAATGCTGTACTGCACCAGATTAGCCAGTTTGGCTGACTGTCTGCTTGTTAATCTTTCGCTCTCTTCTCAGCAGTTTTTCTCACAATGTAACCCTTTAGATGAACTAATAGTATTAGTGTGTAGAGAAAAAAGCAAACTTTTAACAATAATTTACTCTTGTTTCTGTTCCGTCCCACCTCTCCCTTCATCGTTTCCTCTTGTCACAAACACACTACCCCCTTCCCTCTCTATCCTCTCCATCGCCTCATCACAGGGGGGCTATGCTGCGTATCGATATGCCCAGCCGACTGCGGTAGCAAATCCGGCAGCAGCGGCGGCGGCTGCAGCAGCAGCTTACAGTGACAGGTGAGTGGACAAAGAGACGTCAGATGATGCTCCTTTTCAGCAACTTCCTCTACCACTAAGGAGACACTCTATCTAAGAAAGACACACAAAAAAATCGAAGTGTAGTAACATTTCCAAAATGAGGTTACATATATATAATTTAGCGAAATGTCCTTTATTTTTCCGAAAAAATATTATGAGATAACTCATGTGTTTACGCTTTTGTCTATTTTCAATAGCTACGGACGAGTTTACACAGCAGACCCTTACCATGCTGCGCTCAACCCAGCGGCCTATGGCGTGGGAGCAATGGTAAGTTCCCTCAGCCCATATCAGGTAAACAAATTAAAGATTAAGGCAAAGAATATATTATATGTTTGTCATTGTCAACAACTGTCATGAAAGAGCAAAACCAACAATGTGTTTATCTACTTACATTAGCATTTATATAGGATTGAAAGGAACCTGCAGTAATGTGGCTCACTGATTTATTTTTTTACATTTAATGGAGGTCTGAAACAGAGGGAAGAGATATAACATGGTTTTGACTAAACAGAAAATACTTGTTAGACCAATAAATTCACAGTTGTTTCTAGGTTCTTTTCTTTTGTTTATTTACAATAAGAAAAATATAGATCACCAGAATGATAATTTAATGTGTAAAGTGATTGTGACCATTTGACTAAGTGTTTGTCTTTTGTCGTTTCATAGGCCGCGCTGTACAGGGGAGGATACAGTAGATTTGCCCCTTACTAAAGACACTACATTTCCCAGGAGCTCCTCTCTTCCATTGATTTTCTCTGAAAGAGCTCCCTCTGTTGTCGTGGAGATGGACTGCACCCAGTTTTAAAGTGTGGTGTCGACCACAACAAGATATTTCAGATCCCACCCCAGAGCAGTCCCAAGTTTTCTTATATACGCTACTACAGAAATAGAGGAATGCTGTATTAAAGACTGATGGATGGCCTTTATATTTAAAAAAAACAAAGAAGAAAAAAAGACAATAAATGGCCACCTTCCCTATTGCACGGCTGTATTATAGTCTCCCCTTCTTAATCCCTCGGCACTCAGCAGCACAAGACTCGTGATGGAGCCCAGATGTTCTTCCAAAGGCTGAAGGTGGATAACTAAACAGCTGACAACCAAGTATGAAAAAGAGCTGAGTGCTGTGTGGCCTGCACACACTCAACATTAAAGGAGAAAGAGAGGGAATCAAAGTGTCCACGAAATGTCAGAGCGTTAGAAAGCAGGAAGTTGCCTCAAAAGAGAACCGGAAAAAAACATTTTGAAACAGAAAGAAGAGTCACTAAAATGATAAAAACACCCACTGATGGATTTGTATAATTCCTCTTTAAGGTGGGCGGATAGTAGTGAGAGAGGATTTCCATTCTCGCTGTGTTCTGGTAGAGGAGACTGAACATGGCGGCTTGGAGGAATGATGTGTGACGGTTAATAACGCTACAGAAATCACGTCCGAAGGCTGAAAGGAGGGAGGGTTATTAGAGCTGTTCCTTACCTCAAGTTTTCTTAGTATGTGGAAATGGTGAACCTTTAAACTTAAAATTGTTATGATATGCAAAGAAATTAGTTTAGAGAAAAAAGTTACCAAATTATTATTATTGTAATTATTCTCATTATTATTCTTATAAAACCATTATTTTTGTTTGACTCAGCACACCCTGCTGATGTAGAACATGTAGATCCAACAGTGAACCTTGGGGTTAAGACTGAAAATAAACAACAATATAACAAATATTTCACCTTTCTGACTATTTCACACAAATATAGTCTCACATCATATTTTCCATTCACAGGATTTCACTACACTCTGTGCAGCCACCACTAAAACACTACAAAAAGTGCAACCCTAAAGCATCGTCGTATTTCATTGATTTTTAGCTTTAGATCCAACAAAACCATCCACCCACAACCCTGAGGTTCAAGCATTTGTTGATCCTTTAATGTAGAGATTTATTATTTGGATTTTCCCCTCATGCTCCATCTTTTATAGAGCAAAGTCCAACATTGAATGAGTCTTCCTGAAACATACTTTAGTAGGTAAATGTGTTCGAGATGCTGCCAGCAGCGATTACTGAGCAAGAGAGAGATTGTGTCGGTGAGTTCATAGAAAATATTTAAATGCAAAACACCTTACTATTGTGCATATTTCTATACCGTTGTATTCTATATTTCCAGAGCGTGGCTCTTTTTTTGGCTTTTGTTTTTGTTCCAAAGATTTGTAGAAAGCACATTTTTCTGCCGTATGTATAAATATATTATCTTTGTTATTATCATAATCCTATGGCTGTCTTTATTTACTTCTTTTTCATATTTTGTTTGTCTTTTTTTTTATTATAGAGTGGCGAAGTCATGCCCATCTACTTCCGGTCCATGGGAACTTATTTTGACTTGGGAAATTATCTTTTAAATTGACAAACATCATATGTGTAATTAATGGCACAATTCAAACGGAATCGAAAGATAATCTTTCTCTCTCCATTGACTTCAATACATCATTTTTTCCGAAATAAGGTCCCATGGATGTCCACCGGAAGGGGAGGGACTTTGCCACTCTATCAAGTCATGCGGGGGGTTTTCCTTTTAGCGAGCCCACCCCGTGCCGATCACGGGCCCACATGGGTAGGGTATATATTATATATATATACTATATATATATATACGTATATAATATATAAATAGTATATTCATATATAATATATATATAGTATATATAAGATACATATACTAGATATATATCCGTAAATGTTGTTACTTCTCCAATAAGGCGCAAGTTCAATTTCAAGTTTATTTTTTTCCTTCTTCTTTGGAGTGAACATCTTGAGCTGGGAGCGCCTAGGAAGGCACAAACTAAAGTGCATGTAACACTATCAAACTATTGTCCTCTGGTTAAATATCAAGTCAATCCACACTACGTTTCGTTTTGTTTGGGTTGATTATAGGATCCGTTAGCGTGACATTTAATTATATTTCAAAACATATTTAGCAGGAGACCGAGACATTTGGAATGAATAGCCAGCAAACCAGCTGTGCTCCTTTCTGTTTGAGTTTTACATTTATTTAATAGTGTTGTTGTTTTGAGCAGAATCCTTACATTTCAGTGGTTTAATCTGTCAGCCTGACCTGTATGGTCTCTCCAGATTTTTTAAAGATATCCAGTCAAATGTGTTAACCTCTTTCGTTAGCAGGTAATATTCCAACATGGTGAAAACTAAATGTCATTGTGGGATATGATCTAAGTTGTGTGTAAAATGGGGCTGTTAACTAATTTCAAAGCTACCGTTGTTTTTCATTTCTCACGTTTGGAAAAACAGGTCAATGAGATGTTCTATTAAGTGTGCTGCTGTTGGATTTCATCATGACATTCACCATTTTTGTTGTAATATTTCCAAATGATTACGAATGTGCTCTGGGCAACAACAAAAAAGAAAAGGAAACCTAGCCAAAGATGCTAACCTTCAGTCCCCAACACGTTTTCAACTAAAGGCGTGCTACACAAAATACACAAAGACGGACTTACTGAAGCCCTGACGGCATGGACAAACCAGCATGAGCGATACTTGTCAAGTTTAAAAAAAAAAAAAAGTTTTGCATGAATCTTGTGTCTTTAATATTTGACTCCTGAGCAGCCGAGCCCAGTTGCGTTCTTCTTTACCACTAAACTCTCCGGAGAATGACAGGCAGCTAGCCGTTTTTAAGCTAGCTAACACAAAGAGCACAGTGCGGTTTGGCAAAAAGGCCTACTGACAACAAAATGGCTGCCACATAAAGTGGCATCTTCATTTTCCTGTCGCGGTTTTCTTGCCTCTGTATTATAGTTAACTATGTGGCCATACTTCATAGTTGCTATGGTTTCTCAATGAACAGTCCTCTCCCCCTCCTGTTATGTCTATATCCCCCTTGACTGCCATTATGTTTTTTGTTATTGAATGTCCATATAAAATGTTTTATATAAAAATGTTTTGTTGTGATCAGGCTTTAAGTTTGCTTTCTTTTGGTATTCTATTGTTTTAGTAAGATGGATGAGTGTCATTCTGTAGGTTATGTTATTGTACACACAATTAGGGCTTATGATCTATTAAAAATGTTATTGATCCCCAAATCAGTAACATTAAAACCTCCAGCAGAATTTTTTGACAGCCCTTAAAGGGGCCCTATAATGCTGATTTTCAGGTTTCATATTTTCAATTGTTGCCTCCCACTAAATAACTGGGACATTTCCACGTTATTTAATGTTCAAGAAATGCCTTATTTTCCTCATACTGCCTGTGCTGCAGCATCTCTTTTCACCCTCTGTCTGAAACCAGAGCCCGATCTGCTCCGATGCCTGCTCTGTTGTGATTGGTCAATTGCTTAAAGATATCCCTCCCTTAATCCTATAACAATACAATGTGTTGGGGCTCTAGCAAATAGAAGTGCCAGTTACATTTTGATGTCACTATGTTACGGAAGTAAACAAAGGAGTCCAATCGAGGCGTTTCGGGGTGTTTGGGAGAGTAATTCCCTTTAACCCATTAAGTTCTACTGTCTACTTAAAGAAGACAACATTTATTTGGGGAAAACATTTATTCACATTCTAATACTTTGTGCACACATACATTCATGGTTCATAAAAATAGAAATATATATATATAATAATAAATAGCTGTACATTAAAAAGTAATAGCTCCAAAGAGGAGAAGGGAAGTGGAGTAGAAAAGGCAGGAGAGAGTAGCGAAGGTTCAGTGGTGATAAACTGCAAAACAGTGATCGAACCATGCTTACAACAGATTCAGTCCATTGTCTCTCAGAAATTCACAAGCCAAGTGCAAAGTACCGGGGGAGGAAGTTTGATTTATGGCTCATAGATTTGACCCCTCAGTGAAGCATGTATAAATAATAAAGTATATTATATAATTATTATTATTTGCCAATTTCAGATCAGCTTTATTTAGATATATTTGTTCAAAGTTTCGAAAAACCAGGTGGGCCTAACACAAAACAGACTCGGCTCAGGTATCTTGGAAGGTGATGGAGAACAGGACGAGGTAGGTGGGCCGGGCGAAAGGGAAATCAGTGCAGGTAGAGCGATTGTGTTGTAAACGCTGCATGTTTCTAGACGATTCCATATTTGGCCAGGTCGCTGAGCTCCATGTCCCCGAAGGCTTCCCATGGGCAGACAACGGTGATGTCTGTGCCCAGACCCTCCATGCCGGGGATTTCGTCTCCGAATCTAAAAAAGGAACAAAAGTGAGTCCTAATTTTCCGTGGAATGTTTTACTTGAGATTTTCTTTGACATTAATCTGTAGCAGACATTCAGATCCTTCACACTCACTGGCTTCATTTAATAAGATTTCTGTTATTCTTTTAAGATAAATCTTAAAAAAAGAATCTTAAGAAAAGTACTTTGTAGCTTTTGTTGTCAGATACATGTTGTGAAGTTAACAGTACACCATTTCAGTGCAACATTTTAGTGGAGTAGTTTGAAGTAGCAGAAAATGGAAGTGCTTCAAGTAAACATTTAAGTACAGTACTTTAGTAAATGTCTTTCTGCCCCTCTTTAAATTCTCTCTTACCCCTTCTGGCCGGGTTTAGGGGCTTTGCTCTTGAAGGTACGAGTGGTCCTCTGCTTGAACTTGGGAGGGGCCTTCTTCTCGGCGGGAACTGCAACGCCTGCGTCGGCCATCTTTTAAGCACTGAGAGAAAAACAGTTCGTTTTAGTCTTCATGTGTAAGACCTTTCCTCAACATCTTACGTCTAAGCTCTACTGTTCTATGTTTGGACAATATTACAACTCCATGTGAGGCCACCATAAAGCTCATCAGACACTGTTATACAGCAGCTTTGTCTATTTTTACACCTTGGCTTTAAAGATTACTCATGGCCAAGAGACCAGAATATCACAAAGTTCATGTAATACTTTAGCTACTCTAGGGTCAGCACACATACAGAGCCATATGTTTCACAAAATAAACACTGAGTCTAAGGAATTTTTTTTTTTTTTTCAATCTCCTCTAATCTTTGCCCTCCAGGTAAAAGTCTTATCTTACAGTAAAGCTCATAAGTGCTGTAGACTTGTTGGGAATGTACTTTGACCTCTATGATGATACTTTGAACACGCAAACAAAACTGGTTGCTTCAATAACCAATAAGTTCCTAAACTTTACTAGTTTGTATTTCTTCCTAATTGTAAGTTCTATCCTGATTTTATTCAGCCACAATGTACAATGTAAACAGGTTTTGGGTGCTGTATGAAAAAAACAATTGACACTTCCGTGAGGTAAAAAATAAGCAGTAAATTAATTAATACATTGTTTAATTTTCTAGTATTTGCGGCCCGTCAAAGCACTTTTACAACACAAGTCAGCATTCACGCATGCATAAAGAGGCTGAGGCTGCCATACAAGGTGCCACAACATTCATATTCCTTCACACACAATTGGATAAGCCATCCGAAGAAAATTGGGGTTCAGGTTGTTTAGGAAAACCATTTCAACATGTTGACTGGAGGAGCTGGGGCTTGAACCTGAGACCCTAAAATCTGTAGATAACCACTCTACCTTCTGAGCAACAGCTGCCCTTTATTGAAATAATACTTCAAAACACTGTTAAGATTGGCTTACATAAGGTAGAAAAGATGGATGGGAAAAGTATATAAAACAAAAGGATGCATATTACACAGAACACACAATATTAACTTACAAAGTGAAGGAAAAGCCAAAGAAAACAATCAGCTTCTTCCTGATTTAGCTTAGACTTCAAATACGTTTTTTCAAAATTGTTCAAGAACAGCACATCTCAAGCCAAGCTCTTTTCATCTCCAAACATAATTCATGTTTCTACAATTAAAAGGTCACATCAATTACATGTGTTCTTCCCCACAGTATCTATCAGAAGCCATGCTTTATATAACCACTCTTATTTATTCTCTATATTTAATCCTTTCCAAATTGTTAAGATATCAAAAGCTGAATTTCTTCTCACCTGTTATTTGCTGTGGGCTTCTTGCTGATCTCTCTGGTTAGTCTTTGTGTTTCCAGCCTTCGCTGTTCAGTCTGTTTATATACTCACTCTTACTAATCCCCCTGAAATGCTCTTCCATAATTTCTGACCTCTCTGCTATGAGGTTAAGGAGGAGCTCAAAAAGCGTATGTTGTGCCATGTGAAGACGTATGTAACATTACATAATGCAGAAGGTCTCCACTGGATATTACTGAAGGCTATAGTTGTTTTGGCAGCTCAATGTCAATAGTATGTTCTATTCGTGAGCATTTAAAAAAAATATATATATATATATTACAATTGTAAATCATACAATCACAACAAATACCTTTAGTTAGTTGTTGATTAAGTCTGTTAAGCTCATTCTTCACCTTGTTAACAATTTGACGGTTAAATATAAGTTTAATGTCCATTTAGAGCTGTTACCCAGATGTAACAGTCTTATCCAGCTAATGAAATGAAATTGCATTTTAAATTAAGATTTTTTTTTGTCAAATCACATCATTTTCTGAGATTTAGGTTCAAATGTGATTGTAGTTAAACACTGAGTGTAGCATTAGTGTTTCTTTCCCCTCAGACATTTCTTTTTATGCCGTCATGATAAATGAATCAGTGAAGTTGGCAGATGCTGTCCCTCTTTAACCTGTAGGCTAGGAATTTGAGCTGATTGGTTAAGTGGTCTTTATTTGAATCCATGATCTGAACGAGGCTCAGGGCTCTCCCCGCACTTTCCAGATCCTCTTGCAAGTTATGACAGGACGTGTTTGTTTACAAGTGAAGTGAAAGTGTTGCCAATATTAAGTATTTTTTTATAGTTACTGATGTGTCTTAAATGTGGTGTCAATATGACTAGGAGTCTCAAGTCTCTATAGGCAGTAAATAAACTGCATACAACTGACATCTAAATATTATCATTGATGCAAATAAGGTTGTGTGTGTGAAATACTGATGTGGGACGGATAGAAAATACATTTCTTAATAATGACTATGATGATTCTGATAATTTTTTGGCTTTTACTTTATTATCATTCTAATTACTGTCAATAAATGACACGGCCATCATTTCCAGTGACTTCTTCACAGATATATATAGTCTCGCTTGAAATAAGTGTATACAAACCTTTAGCTCCTCTATTCTTGTCTGAGCTGGAACAGGAGTGGACAGAGCAGAGTTTGCAAATCAAACAATGCCAGGACATCTGAGTGGATTAGGAGATCAGAGGACTTTAAAAGGCTATAGTCAGACGGAAAAACAGAGAGAGAAACACGCTCATCTGAATACACTTTGAGACTTCGACAGAAGGTAAGATGAAACTGCAGTTTTTTCTCCGCTGTGGTACAGAGAGGCTGTTTCTGCTGGAAGAGAAAGATGGACAGAGTGATGGATTTAAAGCTTTTTTTCTGGAGTGTCATCGCTAAAAGATTTGAAATGAGATCTGAGATACTTCCTGAGAAGACTTCAGGAGTATTTATTTGTGCTGGACTTCTTGTTGATACTGTTGGAGCCTTAGTTTCTGTCTTTATGCCTCTTTTACTTAATACATCTGATAAACACAGAGGAGTTTTTAAAACGAAATGCATTTATGCTTTTATATGGATGTTGACAAGATTTTGCTTTCAATTTGTTTGTATTGACAGCTCTATATAGAGTAGATCACTGGTTAATGGTTGCAGAGTAACTTTTAGAGGCAATGCACATCAAATTGCATTCAAAGTTATGTTGCAGCGAGTCGACTTAAAGGTCCCATGGCCATTTCTACTGATCATAATTCCATTGTTGAGGTATACTAAAATACATATTGTGCAATTTTCCAAACTCACATTGGTTTCTCATAGCATCTCTGTATAGAATGTGTATTCACTCTCTGTCCTAAACGGCTTGTTGGAGCTCCTGCAACCCCCCCCTCCCCTCCCTGTGAGCCCAGTGTGCTCTGATTGGTCAGGACGTTGTGAGGCTCGCTGCTCAGCGAGCTGGTTTACTGGTGTGGTCTCCGGGTCGGCGATACAGCTAGAACAAGCAAAACTCATCCTGAGCACACACAAACACTCACAGCCGAAGTAAANATGTAAACACATATTTCCATTTGAGGGGTTAGTGATTAGTAAAATGCATGAATAATAAAAAGAAAATGTTTAACTAGGTGAAAAAAGGCAAGATAAACTAAGTTTATCTTGCCTTTTTTCACCTAGTTAAACATTTTCTTTTTATTATTCATGCATTTTACTAATCACTAACCCCTCAAATGGAAATATGTGTTTACATAAAGGGTGACCAAACCGTTTGAGACCCACAGAGAACTTATTTAACTATCTAAAAACTCAAGAGTCCTTTACCTCACCTCAGCTGTAGTTATCAGTCTCTCAGTCTGACAGGAGAGGACTATCCTCCACCTTGTTGACAGCTCATTATATCCGTTAGCGCCGCTAGCTAGCACCAGATGCTAACAACAACACTACACGTAACCGGTGCGCGCGCTTTCTCTCTCGCTCGCTCGCGCCACACATACACACCCTCACGAGCTTGAATGACACACAGAGACCAATCGAGGGCATTGGTGTATGATCTAATCATAACATGAAAAACATTGAAACTTGTTTATTTCTGTGAGGCAGAGCCAGACTCACATTTGCGCAGCGTTGCGTTCACAATATATACATTAAAAAAAAAAAATCCTCAGGTCAGCAGACCACTTAACAGGCCAGGCCATTGGGAAACCTCCCGGTCCTCCCGATGGCCAGTCCGGGCCTGTTGACTTTAAACATTAAAAAGACAAGGCAGTTCAGAGAGAATCAAAGGAAGGCAGGCAGCTTTGCATGACATTCTTCTGGACGTGTTTCATTGTGGTGATAGTGAGGGTAGTCAATCGTTTTGTTGACAAGACAGTAGTGACGGCAATCTTGGTGACGTGTGTTGTTCTGCGAGACCAGAGATGTAGTTCATTGAGCGTTTCACACAAACAAATGTGTTACCTCACAGTTTTACGACACATTTTTATTTTTTTTACTTGCAAAATTATCTTTTAAATTGAAAAACATTATGTGTAATTCGTGGCACAATTCAAACGGGATCGAAAGATAATCTTTCTCTCTCCATTGACTTCAATACATAATCTTTTCGAAATAAGGTCCCATGGAGGTCCACCGGAAGGGGAGGGACTTCGCCACTCTATTGTGAAACTTCATAAAAATGATATGGGATATAATGGATTACTCTCGAAACTTATGACTGCCATATTATCAAACACTGTCACAATTTATCAAAACAGATTGTAAAGATTGCATTACCGTATGGCAGAGTAGCGAGGCCCTCTCCGTTAGAGTACGGGGTCGCCATCTTCTTGTTTGTCATCACTCTGGCTGTGGCATTATTCACCTGGACACCAAAAAAAAAAGGTCAGGAGCTTATTCAACCCAATTTAGCGGATAAACAAGCACTGAGGAATTTGTCAAAGGGATGTAGAATCCAATCACAATATAGTTTACATTTCCTTTAACTGAATGTATTCTGTGAGATATGAGGGAAATACTCGGCACATGATGATCAGCGTCTTCATATGGTGCTTTAGATGTGAGGTGTAATTATACTTGATTTTGTTTACTTATGACAGAGGTTAATTCTGTTGATGAGCAGCGATGGTATTTGATGCATGCACTTCTTTTAAAAAGGAGAAAGACATTGAAAACAAGGATCCTGGTGAGTAAATCAGGCAGTTTTGCACACAAACAATGCAACCATTGGCACACAGAACAAATCAAATATTTCATAACAAAAGCATTCAAAAAGAAATCCAAGAACATTGTATTGCTACCTTTAAAAAAGGAGGGAAAAGAAGGTGAATTAAGCTGCAGATTCATCAGTTGAACACAATGCAAAAACATCAAAGAGTTCATACACAAATTACACGCAGCCAATCAAGAGCGCATCACATCACCAGAGGTGAGCAAAAACTAGCCAATCAGCAAGCATCAGATGCAGCAAGAGACCAATCGAAAAAAGGTTGGCAGCCCTCCCAGTCCAATACACATCATACAGAAAAAGGAGGGGAGGGAGAGAACGACAGAGAAATATAGAGGGATGCAGGAGAAGGAGCCAGTCCACATGAAAAGACACAGAAAAACACATACATGATGTGGAGAAGAGAGAGAGTGAACAATCCATCCAAATGTGCAATTCTTCTAATGAACAAACAGAAACAACAAGATGCGATACACACATACAAAAGTACATCCGACCGTTTGCCTACATTTGATCTAACTGTACAAGAGCAACAATGGAGAAATGATAAATGGAGCAAGAACAAAGAGAGAGAAGACTAAATAAAGACAGAGAGAATGGGGGATGCAAATATCATTCCTCAAAAAAAAATCAAATCAAACCATGGTTGTGAAACACTGCCAGGCATTCCAGATCAGTGTTGCACACCAGAGAGACCTCGAACCACAGAACCACCAACACACACCATCCAGAACCAAACTGATCGAAAAGTAAAACAAGGACACCTCTTTAAAGGAATCGGAACAAATCTGCCGTGTCTTAATCAATTGCATTTATGTTTGCTTTGACGGGGTCTTCAAATGAATTCATAGCAGCTGTTTTCCTTTATTACAAAGGACTGAAATGCTTAAAAATGTACATATTACTAATGAAAAGAAGATTGGCTTAAGGTAAGCATCTTATATGGGGTGCAATATATTAATCTAGGTATATATCTTGAATTTGAATTTTAAGTCTTAACAGCCATACCTCTACAACTGTCTGCGGTCTACAAAGTGGTATAGAAAGTGATTATCAAGTACTACAGTACACCATGATATACAGACAACTAGTATCCTCTCTCGAGTAAAGCTAACATAGCACTCATGCTTCGGCATGCTGTCCCACTAAGGTGCAGAAATGCAGCTATTGGCTGACACATGACACAGAGAGATGACATAGTACTATATGGCGTCATACAGATGACGAGAAAGAGAGTAAACCATGCAGGATACAGCTCTGGAATTAAATGCTGAATGCAGTTAGAGAGGTGATTGGAATGAATGCATAAGAAGTGGTAGTCATAGTTGTTGCACTTGCAGATAGATGCAGTACATTCAGTTATACAAGTGGCCTTTATAATGCCATGCGATCAATGGCTAACCTCGTAATCGTTTCATTCACCACCTCCCCAATCAATCACAGGATTAGCCAATCAGCTTCTGTCAATCAATCAGGCTCCTATCAGTAAAGAGGGCCGTCATTTGGGTGTTGGGTGCTTTTTATAGATTTTTTTTGACGGATGTGTTGGGGGGGAGGGGTCATTCAAAGATGATGCCATGTGTACACAACTTACCGTTGCCAGGGAAACGGCGTGAGGACACGCGAGCAGTTACCGTGGAGACTGACAACAACAACAACATACAAAAATCATCAGGGAAATAGAGAAAATATATGTAAGAAAGAAATGATGAACCAAAAAAAAACATAAACAAAACGAGGTAATGAAAAGCAACCCCCACTTCTTGGTAGAGAGGAAGTAATGTAACAGGTCACGTGTCAACAGTCACCTACAAGTATCAGCCATTTGACAACGACCTAGCCTCTCACTACAAACACAGATCAAAAGTTGATAAAGGAGCAAACAAATGGAAACATAAAATATCAGAAATAAAAAAAATCTACCTTAGGAGGCAAGCTACCTGTCATTATTGCTCAGATTATATTCAAATAACTGACAAAATAGTTACTTAAAATCAAACTTCTCCAAACCTAACTTCATCACAGGACAGGGAAATGGACAGAGATATGGGGAGGGATGGACAGCAGAAATGCAGGTGGGGACACAGACTGGGAGACAGACGTACAGACTGGCCTGGTGAAAAAGAGTGGAGAGAGATGGAGGAGAACCAATAAAAAGAAAGGAAACAAAGACAGGAGAGGGAACGACTGCTATCTATTGCATTTTCTCTCCGCCCTCCATATTTTTAATCCTTCACCACCCACACAAAGACAGAGAGGAGTGCAAGACTTTCGAGATCATGCATGCAGAGGAGCTTTAGTGGCAAGTCAAAAAATAAAGCGTGAATTTAAGAGCCAGAGCAAATGGCATAAGCATGGTGTATCTGATCTCCAAGGCCATTTGCAACTGAAATCTGAACTCATGCTGACAAATAATAAAAGATGTCACAACAAAATGCACTTCTGTGATATCTGGTGTTCTTTTCAGCAGTGGTGGATGCAAGTGTGTGTGTAAACAAAACATTGTTTTTTACCATCCATCTTGCATGTCTGAAATTAAACAGCTTTTTTGAAGCATCAGAAATGACACCACACTTCTCAAGGCAGTCTCATTCCAACAAAAAAAAAAACTTCCCCCTGAATTGCTTCCCGTCATGCATCAGTCTGCTAACCGGTCATTCATTAAAAAAAGACTGCTACCCAGAGTCACCCGTGTGATGTTATCAGTGAAAAACTCCATGACGATATCTGACCTTATTATCCATCCATGCAACATAGAGTAGCCTCTCACAATCATCAGCAAGCATTTTTTTCAGAGGAAAAATAACTGAGAGGCTAATAACGCCCCCTTCCAATCATTAATAAACCAAAAGTGGCCACTCATCATGACCATGACAGAAGTGATGATGGTGATGGAAAAGGTGCAGGAGAAACAAAAAAAGAGAAAAGATCCTACATGCTGTTACAGAAGCGGATATCGACAGCGCCCGTGCTGTAGTGATTTCTTTCCGGCCATGCCTGTTGTGTAGCCACTCCACACAGCATGCTTTGCAAACCACACAGCTTTAAGATCAAGGTGCAATGGACAGCCCACAACATCAACAACAACGACAGCATAAACATCGACAGGAAGTGCCGTCAGAGAGATGTCTGTGTGCGTGGTGTGCGTGGCACCACTGCACCATGCTATAGTGAAGCCAGAGGGGTTAGAGTCAGACACATACAGCCACCCGGAAACCTTCTCTGGGGCAGAAACGACCAGAACAGACTCAGTCTAATTATCGGACATGAAGGGGGAAACTCCTGAAGAGGAGAAAATGGTCACCGTTTCAAAAAAAGGCAAGGGTGGTGAGTTACCTCGATTTTACGTCCTTCCACCAGCGTACCGTGAAGCTTCTCCCTGGCCCTCTCTGCATCTGCACTCGTCTCGAAAGTTACAAAACCAAAACCCTGTGGGCAGAGGAGACGAGGAGATGGAAAAAAGAAAAGAGGGGGAGAGCGAGAGGGGGTTGAAAATACACGTTAATCTTTCGCTGAGCTCATTTCTGTTAACAAGGTTTTTTTTCCTTCACATTTTAATAACTTCATACCTTGGATCCTCTTTCATTGAAAATGATCTCGACATCAAGGATTTTGCCGTATTGCTGTAAAAAAAAAAGGTGAGGAAGATTTAGAGGCTGAACAAGCACGTGAGTCTTGTACTGCTTCTTGCCACAGGGTGTCAGCACTGACCAACCACGATGAGCTGGCATTGAGCCAGCTTTGGCAGTCTTTTTTTTCTTCCATCATATCCTTCTTTCCTCTGCACCACATTTCAAAAACATTCCTCTTACAAAAAGCCTAACATAAGGCCAGATATTCACATCTGGCATATAAAATCGTTCTACAAGATGGCTTTCCAGGTAAAGGTTTAGTTTTTTATCCAAATATGAAAAAGAGGACAACTTTTAGCTGAAACTGACGGGAGAAAGACTTCTTTCATTTGAAAATCCTATTTGAGGACACAAAATAAAACTATAAAAATAGAAATCTGAAGACACAGTGCTGTTGTCACTGTATTGGTTATTTGAGTCGTTCTTTTTACTTACTAGAAGCTTTAATATAAAGCTACTTTTCTAGGTTATGTAATAATGCATATTGGTAAAAAGGGGGGATATTGCGGTCTACATACACCAAACATCTGCCGTAGGTCGGGGTCTCTGAAGCGGAAGGGGATGTTGGACACGTGGAGGCGTTTGGGCGACCCCTTGGCGTCTGTATCGTCCCCGATGCTCCCTCCACCTCCTGAGCCAACACCCGACTGACCGTCAATCTGGGAGGACCCATCTGACTGCTGGGAAGAATGGAAGAGGAATAATTTAATGTTTACACTCCAGCCTGCAACAAACAATTAATTTACTAATGATCTGCCAGTCATTCTCTCGATTCTTAGCATTGTGTGTATGCATTGTGCTATTGTAGTACTGGGTCTTTATTGTATATTGTGCACTCATTTAAAGTGTTTTTGTTTTTTTTTGTAGTCTTTTTAATTGTATGTTGTCCATTCTGAATGTTTTGATAGCTTTAATCTTCTCGTTGTACTTGTATAATAACAAATAAATGCTTCTAATCTTTGGGAAAAAAACAATCAGATTGGTGCGTCCAAGAGAATTTCTACTATTTTGTTATCTTTAGAACCTGATCCTTCACACTCTCGCTGCCCTTTCAAGGCAAAGCCCTGATGTGGGCTGCAGAGGAAGAGACTGGCACTCACTTGGACACTGAGGCTGGCAGCGTTGGCGGCACTGTTCACTGCTCCACCGAGTTCCACGGGGCCCTGGACGGCCCCCGCTGCATACAGGCTGCCCCCGTAATCCAGGGCCAGGCCGTTCTGGGGGGGCGGCGGTGGAGGTGGAGGGAAGGCAGAGAAAGGAGGGGGTACGAGGCCCTCCTGACCGCCAGCATTATCCTGAGCGCCCTGTTGGAAAAAGAAGAGAAGAGTGAGGAAGGAGTGAAAGCTAAAGTAGCCGGCTGGCTAACGTCCACAGTATCTTTTACAGAGAGCATCACTCGACCACACAGAGACCACTTTCCCATGAGCCTCAGTCTAAAAGTCACACAAGCGTGGATATTATATTTCCATTTCCCCACGTACGGGTGTGTAAATGCGTGCATGTATCCACACACCCCCCACCTATTAAATATTCACTGCAGCCACATCTATTATTGAGGGTCAGATGCCTCCATACTCAGTGTTCTACAATGGTGAGTGTCTAACGCCTGCACACACACTCACAAACGCCTCTGCTCACAAGCCACCTTTGACACGCTAACACCCACACACCTAAATGCTCACACAAAGACCAACTGTTAGTGAGGAAGCCTGCCCAAGTATCACTATTATTATATGACAGGGAACAACATCATTACCCCCAGAAAAGAAACATGTTACTTATATTCAAGTGCGTAGGAGAACAATACCGGCACCCACAAACACGACACAGGGATAACAACACACACACACACACACACACACATTCCTGGCTGTTGGCAGTGGGGCATAGATACCCTAAAATGGTAATAGTAGGAGAGTGAAGGGAGACAGCGGGGACAAGGGGCAAAAGGGGGGGGGATGGTAGGTGATGAGTGATGGAAGAAGCATGACCCTGTCTCTGATCCATGGCTGCAAAAGATACACAAACCTCCACTGTCTCTCAGATCCTTTTATAACTCGCTAACGCAGCACTAGATGGCAGATTAATTCAAGACAGTAGGGAGAACATCTTTTTTGTTGGTTTATTGACCAAGCATTATACAATATTCATAGCAAGACTAAGTATAAAGTCATGTTGCTCTGCTCTGGAGATTTGTGATTAAGGATGAATCATCATGCTAACATGGATTAAATCATACCATTTTACTTTAAGTAGTTAGCATGCTGGCATTTGATAAGCAAACTAAGCTAATTATCATACTCTTAAAAACAGCTGATGACGATGGGACAACGTATGGACACAGGACAATATTGAACTGATGATGGCATCAAGTGGAGAGTAGTTACAATTATTCCTGAATGTTTGTACAGACTTATATTAAATTCAGCTAGCATGGCTTTATAAAGTATGAAGAATTAGACCTTGAAGGGGATTCAAAAGTCCTGGGCATAATTGCATTTTGTCCCTGGTGTTTTTATCAGTTCAACCATTAATTAAAAAGGCCACTGGCAATCTGTCACAGTCTGACATTAAGATATATTAGAAAATAAAAAATAAAGAACTACAAAACTGAACAAATAATTCCTTTTAGAAAGCAGACGAAGGTAATCAAAAGACACAAAGTCAGATCATGAAAAACAACAGTTGCTTAACCAGTTGAGTTTAGATGCAAATAGAGGGAGGTTACATAAGCGAGTAGAATACAAAAAAAAGGCAAACAATGGCTTCTGTATATGACTATGCTCTTTCTGTCTTCAGGTTTCCCTCCAACTTTTAAGAGTCATAATTACTTGAACTGTTATCATTTTTTATTAGCAGCAGAACTAATTATGGTGGCACTAGGAACAGGTAATAATAACAATAGTTTATTAATAAAATAATTATTCAGCTTCTCTTTATACCACTAGAGAGATGCTTACTAGACATCTGCTTGATGTGTGTGTGTGTGTGTGTGTGTGTGTGTGTGTGTGTGTGTGTGTGATGCTGAAGCGATGCCCATCTGAGTTGCACAATAGATCTCTTTTCCTTTGGGAGAGTTAAAAGTGTGTTTGAGTGTGTGTCTGTGTGTACACGCCATCTGTCTCCCAGCTTTTGACCTTTCTCAGCGTCACACCTGTGACACGGTAGCCGGGCCCCTCGACTCAGCAACAAAGCGGCGATGCACACGGTCGACACGGATCACATCGATATTGTGACATGAGAGCAGCGACAGCAGAGCTGCACCGAGTTGACAGTGATAGGGACACTTTGTCGTGTAAATGACACAGGTACACATGTGTAATGCAACCAGGCTTTACGTATAGTGTTTCATATTTACAAATCAAAAATAAGTGACTTTACAGAAATAATCAGTTAACAGGTAGACATTAAAACATCATCTCATTAGTTGGGGTATGTTACATTACATATTAAATGTTTTTTTTGGTTTTTAGAAAATGCCACCCCCTGCCGTGCAGGTCAGGACCTCTATAACAAAAATGTGGCTCATGTGTATTTAACAAATTGTATAATGAACCCTGATTGATGCACTTAAGCTTTATAAAGACATTTATGTTAATTATTGTATTACTGTATATCCCCAAAGCACAATAATGTAAATATAAGTTATTACTAATCAGACCTCAATACTCAAGACTTTAAAAATAAAATTGCAAAATAACCACTTACTATGAAGCTAATAACCCATATTTAATTGTAATACAAAAGTGTTCAGACACAGATACATGTTTAAGACAGTAAAGACCTCTGCAACACTACAAATCTCTGGCACTAACATCACAAACATATTTAATATCTACTCTCTATTTCTACTCAAATAAATTCACCTAGTTAACCTGATGTCCATTTCACTTTTCCAAGCACATTTTCTGAGAAAACAGTGAATGCTTTGAGATACTCTGAACCTTTTATGACTGCAGCTCTGGCCTGATTTCAGCAGGATAACCACAACCAGCAATCCTGTTACCTCACTCCCTCCTCTCCCCGATAACGTACAGTAAATGTGTGTTCATCATGACTCTGCACTGCCATCCCACTCACTGCACACATCCTACCTAAACCGCTTCTGCTGCTCTCCTGCCAGGTGAAGAGTCTCCACCTCAGGATATGGAGAACATGGTTTCTATTCTGGCTGTGCCGAGCACTCGAGTCTCACAGCCGCCAGATTACTGACCGCAGAGTCCAAGTTAAACTGCATTCACATTTTGAAATAGCAGCTGTGTCCGCTCCTCTAAACCCTGCAGCTGTATGAACCTCTTCCAATCTTGTCCACAAGTATTTAGAATAAGAATTTGATACGTGATAACATCCCTCACATCCTTGCTTTCCTGTCTTAACCAAGTTTCAAGTGGCAGAATGACCGTTACACTTCTTCAGAAACATTTAGTCATTATAGTCACAGGCTCATTCTGCCCTGTAAATGTTTTAATATCATCATGCAAGTAAATACATATTTAGATCTGCGATATCGCAATCTCAGTCAGTCAGAAACTTAATTCAACGTGGGCATATTCTCCTGTCAACCATTCTTTTCATACCTTTTTCTTTCAATAGTAGTTAGAATTCTAGGCTCTAATTAATCTACAAAAGCTCAAAAATAGGCCAGAAAAGTGTTAATATGCAAAGGCATTTCTCTCTGTAACACTGTTACATCACTGATGGTAATAATGTGCACATGAGCTGAAATCCTCTGATGAGACATCCTGCATTCATTAGGTTTGAGAGTGAGAGAAAAAGAGAGCCGAGATGAGAAACATTAGTCAGTTTAGATCGGGCTTTAAACAGCAGGAGACATCAACACATTATGTGCTAAATGATACACTTCTTCAGAAACATTTAGACTTCTTCTTACATCTGCTCATCCTAGAATCATGCCAAGTTACCAGGTAAGAGCCCACTTACTTGCATGACAAACAGAAATAAGGAAACTAGACCTGCCCCTGTGTCACACTAGAAAGGGAAAGTTGATCACCCCGGTTGGGTCAAGTGGTGAAATGAACAAAGTAAAAAGAGGGCGATACACTTGGACTTTACCTACGTGTAGAGAGTTTTACCTTATTGCTGCAACATGTTAGCAAACAGCTTATTATAAAAATGAAAAACAAGACAAATGTGGATCTCTCCACCGCTTTTGTGCCTCCCCTGATGATGCATTTCATCTAGCAGATTAGGTAAAAAATAATATGCTTTTAATAATTTTGACAAAAGATCTTCTAAACCAGTGGTTTCCAACCTGGGGGGGGACGCCAAAGATCGCAGGGGGGGCGCCAGGCCTCAGATGATTTGAGGCCAAATATCATGATTTTTTAGTTTTATTACATATAATTGTAAAGCAATGCATGATTGTCACTAAAAGCCTTGTCTCTACATTACAATAAAAAAATAAAAAAAATTGATTAATTAAAATAAAAATTCAAGTTAGTAGCTATTAAAGGCATAAAAAGACAGACATGTATAATTCTTTTTTAATAGAAATGTTTCTTCTGCCCGTAAAGTGTCCAAACCAGGCTTTTCTGGATAAGCGCATTTTTAAAACATAGTCATTGTTCATGCCGGTTGCAGTATTATTTGTCACAGTTGCTCCGATCAGATTGGTCTCCTCCATTTTGTAGATTATTTACGACTTTTGAATCCACATAAACACATCGGAAAAATCCGGCTTACTTTGAGCATGTGTTTTAAACAGTTGAATCTCTTTGTGAATTGTTTTCATTTGCGCCGTCCTTTAATTGAATGAATTAATCCTGAGTCCAATAACCATCAAAGTCACTCAATGGTGCTCCTTAATTACGCTTTCATCCTCCTTTAACAAAATACTTCACATTCATCCAGTTTGTGACAGTAGTTGTAGCATTTTTGAGACTTTTAAACTTTAATTACCGCTGTTGCCCCCCCAAGAGTCATTTGGGGGGGCTCTTGGGAAAAAAGGTTGGGAACCCCTGTTCTAAACTAATGACATTATCACACTGCACACTAAACAAGTTTAACGAAGGCGGTGAACCTGATAAACATAACACCTTCTAAACATTAGCATATTAGCATGCTAATGTGAGCATTTTTCCAGTGCACTGCTATGCCTAATCATTCGTTTGTATTGTCCAATATCGTAGGGAAAATAGTTTTTTTGGTGATCCAAATGGTTGCTGCAGAGAATATTGTCTACAGACGAAGAGCAAAAACATTCTACCGCTTATCAAAAGAGTTGGGAAAACTACCATCCTCCTCTGCATTTACATTTTCATCGCAGCTCCCGTTGTTTTACTCG